GGATAGCATGATATTTTTTATGAATCTTGTACTGCCATGCAAAAAACAGGTGCTGGTTTGCGTTCAGCAGGTGATCAATGGGGATTCGCATGCGTTCAGTGCCATAAGGGGAACTGTTGGGCAACTGTCCATTTTCCTCCAAACGCACACCAAGATAGACCCCTACTAATACGCCATTTATGGGACATGCATTGTATTGTCCCTTATCAAAGCCTTTGGCCATATTTCCCTTTAGCATTCCCTCCTCCATGATTTGTTGTTTGTTCTCTTTTGTTGTGACATGGTAGAATACATCAACTTCGCTCATTTTTGCATTCTCACCAATTTTGGAGCATAAGTTTTCATACTTCCCTGTAACCTTATGTTTACTTTGAGGTTTTGGTATGGTGTATGATTGCGATTTAGCTCGTTTACATGTATCTGTCACATTGTCCCATGTTGCCATTGGTTCAGTGCCGGAATGGTACAACGTATTAACTCCAATCATCTTAAAAAAACATGACTTCAAATATTTTTCTGCAACCATCATTTTATTAGGAACTGCCTTTAAAAGCTTGCTCGCCATTATAAGCTGTTTAGTTTTCCTAAGGGAAAGCAAAACATACCAAATATTATAGATAAATACTACAAGTCTTAACACTATTGTTAGTGACCTGTCCTCCGTATATTGGTACGGTCCAAAAAGTGGGCGGTTCTTCAGATAACCGCCCATCTTTTGGACCATACCAATATACGGAGGACAGGTCACTAACAATGGTGTTAAGACTTGTAGTATTTATGTATTAAAATACGTATATATAGAATACAACACGGGGTATTCCGTATCACCCGAGGTACCAGCCCGACCGCGCGTCGGATCGCCCGAAGGCCGGAGGGCGATCCGATCCGCGGGAGGGCTGGGACAGAGGGTGATGCGGAATACACCGTGTTGTATTTTATTTATGTCATACCCACCCAAGAATACACGCCTTTCAATACAAAATGAGCGAAAATTTGGTGTCCCTAAACCAAAAAAAAACGCTACAACGTCAATCCCAACGTCCGAATTTGTATATTCGACTTTTCGAAAGCGGTGCAAGCGGTTAGGGCAAAACGCGTTCGAATCGTTCTATGGAACATTTGGAAGCCCCGGGCCGTACGCGTTAAGAACCCCCGGGCCGTACCGCTAGTTATCACATGGGCCGGAACAACTGTATCGAACGTAATCGCGGCCCAGGTAGGACATAATGTAATTTATTACCTCCGGGGGAGGATGTATTCTTCCGCGGAAGGGTTTTGTGGGAGATGTAGATTTTCACGTTTGCAGCCGTTTCTCACGCTTGGGTGGACGGATATTTCTGAGACTTGGTATACGTTTTGCTATTGGGCTGTAGATGGTGCACATTGTTTTGCTTTTTTAGTATGTGTGTTTTTGGGCGTGAAAATGATGCGTTTTGACAGCGTATGGACACCCCTTTGAGTTTGAAAGTGGTTTCGTGTTTTGACCTTCGGCGTGTATTAAGTATCATGGGTGTGTTTTGGGGCGTAAAAATATTTTGTATTTCGTGTCTCGGACACCCCTTAGAGTGTGAAAATGGTCGCGCGGGTTGACCTTTGGCGTGTTTGTGGTATTATGAGGTTGGTCAACTTTTTTGCCACAGAGGGGTGTTCGGTGTCGATGTTCTCTACATGGCGCTGGTAGCTTTGGCCGGTGGACGTGGTGAGATTATATTAGTTGTTCCTGACATTTGAAATTAGATACAATCGAACGCAGGTTTTGTGAGTAGTGAAGTGGTGTATGCTAAAGTATGGGACATAACCGAGACCAAGGACATTCTATCACCGTGTGATAAAAGCTTCTTGCCGAGACAGACCTCGATCTGCTCGGAAACATTCATAGAGAGCACCGGGCCGTCACACCGAAGGTTTCGCGGCTCACACTTCCGGGGGATAATATCGAACCAAGGACATTATACAGGTCCTTGAATGAACGTAAAATTACGTGGAAAAATGCCATAAATCCGCAAATAGATATATATTTCCCCAAAGGTTCTTTGAATTGTGCATATTTTCACTAAATGTGGCTATGCAATCGTGGAAAACAGCATTTTAGCGCATGTTCTTAAACAAAAATTGTTTCCGTGCGTTACGGGAGCATGGTATTTTCCCATATATGCAAATATACTTCATAGATATATGCAAGATTGATGCATATATGCAAAAATTTGCATACGTGCGTACATTACCAACATTAAACCCTTGTAAACTCTTGTATATCCTATGTATCATCAGCCATTAATCCTACATTACTTACTTCCGGGTATCCTTCCGCCTTGAGTGCGGTGCTTCGTTCGGTTTGACCCAGATATGCCTTTTATGCGTTCTGGGGGTGCTGTCACTATGCCTCGCGCGACGGGTTATTGTGATTATCTCAGTGTTAGGATTTTCTTTATACTTTTCATGATAATACCAAGGAGGTTAAATTTTTTTTTTTTTTGGTTTTTT